CTCCCTCTTCTTTTTCTTCGTCTATCAGAATTTGTACCTTCTCATCTAAAATGCTATTTCATTTTGTCATTTTGGTTGCTAATGGATTTTGCACTCATCTGTATACGTCTTATACTATCAAAATCTTACCAGTTAAGCTTAAGGGAAGAGCTGAGGATATTAATGTGTTAGACTGCTTTAGAAGAAGTTCCGTTTTGTGGATATTAAATTAGATTTTTCCAGGAAGAAGCTGCTTTAGTTCCTGAGAAAGTATGGGATGTTTGAGACATTGGACTTAATATTTCTGACAAAATGATTACTTTGCTTTTCTTTATGCAACTATGTATGTATTTACTTATGTATTTTCTTTTTACTATTTAAAGTGAGTTAAAAATGGCTATCATGATCATAAAGGAATATCAGGGAAGCTATTATTAACTGACTCTGTGGAATATACAGGAGGTGTAAGATATAATGATCCAGGCTCCTCTTTGTGGCAGGGCAGCATCTGGCATAGGGTAGTAGACAGTCATTCACTGTAGCAGTGCTATGAGCTGGCAGTGCAGTGGGCTTTGAAGCATAGGTGGAGGCATAGGAAAGCTACTGCACCTTTGCTCTTTTCCCTGATGTCCTCTTAGTTTACTCCAAAGCTTCAAAGAGAGGAGCTGCTACCCTGACAAGGCAAATACAATGAGATTTTTCCAAAGAGTTGATACCTTAGAATCGCATTATTATCCAGGTTGGAAAAGATCTTTAAGTCCAACCATCTGTCCAACCCACCAAATCCACCACTAAACCAGTCCCATAATGCCACGTACATTATGCCTTTCCAATGTTTGACTACCCTCTCCATGAATAATTTTTTCCCAGTACCCAATCTCAACCTCTCCTGGCACAACTTGTGTCTGTTTCCTTGCAAACTAATACTTGACACCTGAGGGACAGGATCACCTCCCTTGACCTGCTGACCATGCTTCTTTTGATGCAGTTCAGGATATAATTGGCTTTCTGGGTTGCAAGGGCACCTTCCTGGCTCATATCCAGCTTGTCACCCACCAGTACCCTTGTATTGTTTCTGATGGTGCTATGCTCCAACTTTTCATCTCCCAGTTTGTATTGATAGCTGCAACCCTTGCCTGCTGGCCACCCTATTTCTGATGTACACCAGGACTCTGCTGGCCTTCATCACCTTGGCATACTTCTGGCTTGTATTCAGCTGTCTACTGACCACTGCTCCCAGGTCCTTTTCTGCCAAACAGTTTTCTAGCCACTCTTTCCCAGGCCTACAGCACTGCACTGGATTGCTATAACACTTGGGCACCACTGGAGTTCTTCTGAACAATGTACTGGTAGTGATTTTGCCAAACACTGGTGTGTTATTTTTAGGAAAAAGCATGCTGTCTCAATAAATTGGTTATCACTTTCCTTTTTTATGAGGAGCAATTCCTCGATGCTGCACCATATTACTATAATTTATAAAAGAAGTGCTGTTGTATGAATATGAAATATAAAAACAAATATGTTCAAATTTTGAAGTGTAAGAAAATAATAGTTAACTTTTTTTTTCAGGAAATAACTAAAAGTTTTCTCTAATGAACAGTACAACAGATTTCTGGGACAGAAAACTGCTATTCCAGGCCATTCAGTTAGGTCATAGAAATGGGATTTTTATTTTCATGCCAATTTATGTGGTTTTCTTTTTCTTTTTTTATTTTTTTCCTGTGGAGGCAATCAGTTACTATGCATGCCCTAGTGTATGATGGACTTTTTGAGATACTTTGCCTTCCAGTGGTCCTCAGTCAGTAAACAGGTGTTTAACTACTTTGCCAAAATTAAATTTCAACAACTGTAATTGTCTCTACTTTTCTAACTTCTAGTGGCAGACCCAGGTTTTTCCTTCTGATTCATGACTAATATTAAGCTGAGACCAGGGTAACCAGAACCAAAGTACATGCCAGGGGTTCTTTCTGGACATGCATATTAACAAAAAAAAAAAAAAAAAAAAGTCTGTGGAGCAGTAGATTTCTATTGCTGTCAGCAGCAAATCTGTATAACATGATGCAGAAAACAAATTAGCTGGGATATTGCAGCTTTGCATAGAAGCCAGGTGTTTTAGTGGTTGATTTAGCTCCTTTGGAGGTTGGCCAGTATGAAGGTGATGTCTACAATCAGCTGCAGTCGAGTAGAGAATCAGAATTAAAGAGGTTTCTATCACAAAGGTGACCTTATGATAGATAATTTGTAAAGGAACACTTTGCTAGTATGTGGCATTTACCCTGACAGCACTCTAGGTACTATACTGGGAATTAATATAAGCTGACACAGTTCATTTTTTGGTTTTGTTAAAGTAATCATATCACTCCCAATGCTAATGCAGTTCACTGTGAGAAATTGGGGTATGATGTAAGCAACACAGAATAAATCTCATGGAGACTTACTGGTAATCATAATCATAATAAAAAAAAAACTTACGTATTGTTATGATCCACAGCTTTCAGTACTGTCTGTTAGGAGACCATTCAAGAGTAAGAAGTCATGCAAATGCCCAAGTAAGAAACATAGAAAAGGGTGGAATGTTCAGGACATGCAGTGTGTGTAGGTTGCATTACACAGATGAAAACAAAGTGGACTCCAACTTTGTTCAGTAAAAAAGAGGATTTAGATTGGAAATTTCTCAGAACTACAAAATTAATTCTTGCTGCTACATATTCTTTAGGAATATAATATCAAGCTGGTAATATTTAATATCTATAGGAATAAATAATCAAGATGATAATAAAAATATAAAATTAATTTCAGGCCTTAGGAGTTTTAAGTGAATTACCTATGATTTGTTAAACTCCCTGATTTTTTTTTTTTTTTTTTTTTTTTTTTTTTTTTTTTTTTTTTTTTTGTTGCACCTCTAGGAACCTCTGCAAAAATCACTTTGATGCTTTCTATTATGATAAACTTTAAATTAGAAAATAACTGTGGAAAGTTTGTGAAGTTATTAGTAAAAGACTTTCTGATGTCTTTAAATGTGTAAATATAGAGCAGAAAAAAAATTACCATCGAGATTGACTTTGCCCCTGCAAGTAATATCAGCAATTACTAATAAGCAGAATAAAATTTTAAAACCAGTACAATATGACATTGTAATTTTTGTGTTTATTTTATGGCTACACAAGGAATTTTAAGTCTTTCTTTAAAATACACTCTTAAAATGTTATCTTGAGTTAAGCGAGAAATATTAACAATGATTAATGACTGGAAAATGAGAGCACATGATAAAGCATTCTATTACACACTTGTTCATTACTGTAATTGCTGATGATTTTTCAAAAGTCATTGCAAGTGTTGCTAACAAAACAGCATTTAGGAATTATTTACTGTAACTTTTTCCATTTCTTTCTATACGATATTGTTGTTTTTTCTGTCATACCTATTCTAAGTCCATAGTGTAGATCAAAGAGATAAGGAAATTTACCTACACAAACACATCATTTTCCAAGAAATGAATAATTACAAACACAATTTCAGTGACATAGTTACACATACTAAATGGGATATTTCAAATATTCAAATATTCTTTTCTTTTTTCTTTTTTCTTTTTTCATTTTTCTTTTTTCTTTTTTCTTTTTTCTTTTTTTTTAAAAGAACAGATTTTTGCTTCTGAAAACAGGTTTTTGTATTCTATGTTTGCATGTAAACTGGGAGTTGGTCTCTGCTTTGAGGATTCTGCAGATGATGGTGGAATACTGCAGTATATTAAAGAAAGAAAAAATGTCTGAAACTTTGTTTCTTCTCTTCTTTTTCAGCTTAATTGGAGAAGAGGCAGAGACTAGAAATGCCACCAGCAATAGGAGCACCACAGTACCCACCTCCAGATGGAGGCTGGGGGTGGGTTGTGGTCTTTGGGGCCTTTATTTCCATTGGATTCTCCTATGCATTCCCCAAAGCCATCACGGTATTCTTCAAGGAAATACAGGAAATCTTCCATACATCATATAGTGAGATTGCTTGGATATCATCAATAATGTTGGCTGTCATGTATGCAGGAGGTAAGATGTTTGTGAAATTTGAAATATCACAGCTCACCTGCCCACATGGTCTTAAAGCACTTAAAGTTAATTACTAACTGATTTTACAAGTTACCTAAGAATTTACCTGGTGCTTTTTCTTTGAATGTTATAACTTGGAACATCTCAGACTGTTTAATAATGGGACTATGAAATCTTCAATACATATATTATAAAAAAATATGTACATATGTATAAAAATGTATAGAAACTGTGTGTATAGAAACTGAAAAGTTTATATAGAAAAGGAATATAGTATAAAGTATATAGCAACTGAGAACACTGTGCCTATACCACTTTGTCTTTATTCACCGAAGAGCAGCACTTCTGTATTTTTCAGAAGTGGTTTCTGTAATAAAGTATGATATTATCAGATCCCAGCAAACGATCGTGTGAAGAATACATGAAGTCCTGTTTTTACCATGGTATTTTTTTATCACTGCTTTCAACCTACCTAAGCCTTGACATTTGAGTGACCATAGCTGCTTTAGCAGTGAAGGAAGAGAGCTAGGTGTCTATAGGAGAGAGTTCAGACTAGCTGAGTTGCACTCTTTAAGTATCTTTTTTCTCCTCTGACTATAAAGAAGAGTCTACAGCCAGCATAGCATTAGCTGAAGCGCCTCAGTTAAATATTTTTCAGTTAATGGAATGGAAAACATAATGGTTGTTTTTTTTTCTTAAAATGGTAGCAGAGACAGAGACCTAATAAAGTTGATTTGGCAAGTGGTGCCAGTATCAATGCAAACTTGCTTTTCAGATGTTTTGATCTTATATTTATTAATAGGGAGAATTTGAAGGAGTTTATAGGAGCAGCAACAATTCACCAAGCGAAGAAGTAACTTGATTCAGTGCCTTCAAGAGTGGAGTAAAGGAGCATACATATCCTTGCTATATGTTATGACTTATGACCAGGTTACTCTCAAATCATAACTGGTGGTTATGGATACTGCAATCCTAAAAATGTGTTTCACTCTGATAATACGCCATTTTGTGTGTGCAAGCATGCTTGACTAGCACCGTGCGCTCTGCAAGCAGCCCAAAGGCAGTCAGTGTGCATGGTGCTGTGAGAATGGAGAGAATGTCTCATTCAGATTTCCTCTGAAAGTACTTTCTTCAGAAGGCTGTGTATTTACAAATACATATGCTCTTGCACTGCAAAGTGCACAGATGTAACTGTGGAAGCCCCTGTGTGGATCCATCTGGAAGAAGGGAAGTGCACAGATGATAAGAATTGGAATCTGCTTCCATTTTCCTTATGCTGTGACTTCTGAACTGAAGTCTTGTTCACTGTGTTTTCTAATGTTATCTAAATTTTATTAGGGCAGATTTACTTTATAGAACAGTTGTTTGTTGTTTTTTTGTTTGTTTGTTTGTTTGTTTTAATCTCTGATTAACATCTAATTTGTGCCATTTCTATCATCTCAAAGTTCACTCAACTTTTATTAATAGTGCAGACACAAACTGAAAGGCATTTAGCTATGGTCATGTTTGAACATAGGCTGATCTGAAAGCAATGCCCCTATTTTATTGTTTTGGCCCATGATATCAGATGTGGGTGTTGGTGGTTTGGCAGCAGAGGGGCTCACAAAATGGCATCTGACATGAAAGTGCATGTGAAGCAAAGATGTGTCACTGAATTCCTTCCTCCACACAGAAAAAAAAGGCACCCATTGACATGCATTGACTCTTGCTGAACAGATATGGAGACTAAACTATGGATGTGAGCACAGTGAGGCAGTGATGGTAGGTTTCAGCAGTGGCAACAGTGACAGTGGGTCACCTCCACTGGTGCAGAATTTACGACCATGGCATGCTTGTTGATTGCTGGCCAAAAGGCATAGCTAATGGTGGTGACTATTGACAAACAGTATTCTGTAGTTGAAAATTTGCTCTATCAAACAGTGTTATTGTGTTCTTTGCTGTAGATTCCATGGAATTTAATAGGAGGCATTACTTATCTCACTGTGGTTTTGAAATGACGATTCTGCTGGGTATAAACACTCTTTGAAGCCATAGCTTCTCTAGAACCACTTCCTAAAAAATAGAGCATTCAGACAATATCTGGCAGAATATGAAATAGCAATCAGGAAAAACACTTCTGAAGGAAATCACTCCATTGTTTTTACTGTCTGAAGGTGGTTTTATTCCTTAGCATTTGATGTGCTGTAATATGAAAGACATGAAGACCACAAGTACAGTGTGTAGTGTTTACTATGAAGTATGATATGTCTGCGTGAACACTCTCTTCATCATACTATTAATTAAGGTAACTTGAAAACATCTAAGATCTGTCATTCTCATTAGAGCTTAGCATTCAACCTATTAATCATCACAGTGGGGTCAGTGAATAAGTTAAGAGTCTGTGCTGACACTCTTTGCTTTAGAGGCTCCAGCCTCTTGCTGTAATTAGCTGGCTTCTGTGTTTCAATAACAAGGTATTAACTTACCTTTCAATGCTTTATGAAAAAAAAAACAAAAAACAAAAAACAAAACATGAATACTAATAAACTAATAAATGGCATCCAGTAAGGAACTAAAAGAATGTTAATTATGTTTATCACTTACTTCATACTTAGAATAAATGGCATTAAATTATAGCAGACCATCTGGCAATCCATATGGTCTCTTGCAGTCCTGGTTAATTCCTGCAAATAGGTCAAGCACAGCATTCACTCTGTTAGGAAAGCACTAAGCAGAGGTGACAAATCTGATAAATCTAGTCAATATGAAATTCTTTCCCCCTCTCAATCTAAGATAATAAGCAGTTCCGTGTAGTTCTTGTTGGGTTTATTTATTTATTTTTTCTCAAACACACTCTTTTCCTCCCAACTCTCGTCTCCTGGATGTTTATTAGAGCTTACTAAAAAGCCTTCCCAAAATGCAAGATCCTGTAATACGATCAAGGTTACATGTAATAGATGGCCTCTGTGGTTCAGCCTGTGCTTGAAAGAAGTATCCTCTGGAGAAGGGCAATAGTTCAGTCTCCATGGCAACTCCTTCTTCTGCCTCTCTTGAGCAGAGACTGTCAATTGTATTAAATTAGTGGTGATAGCTTTGTGATGGACTCCTACACACAAGGGACTGTGACTGGGATGACCACACTTCTACTACAGGAGGGCTGAATTTGGGGTAAGATGGAATTAGTGGAGCTATCCTGACAGGGCATATTGTGTTTGTGTACACAAATGAAAGCATATATATATATAATATGTATGCATGTATGTTTTCTTTAATATATCAACTGTGTGTGCATACTTAAAGAGTCATATGTTTGCTCTGGTGCACACAGATATTAAGGAATTGAAGACCCAAAAGACCAAATATGCTTTACCTCAGATTCTCACCGTTCATTCTTCCCTTTTTCAAAATTTCCATTTTTCCACTTTGCACAGCATTAACCAGCTAAAAGTGATTAGAAATTTTATTAGAGCTCTATTTGTCTAGAGAAAAATATATGTATTTGTTGTTTTCAGTATAGATTTGATGAGAAACCTTAGTGGCGGTCGTTAGAGCCATGTGACAGATATGTTGATTTCAGAGACAGCTGACTTTGGGTTTTAGACATCCTTGTGGAAGTCTAAAAACTGGAAAAAGCAGGTTACTTAATTGACTTTAACTCTTTTTCTTGTCATTTAGCCAAGAGCAAATTTCATTTTGGTTGTTGTTGTTTCTATTTTCAAAAATAGCTTTTTAGATGTGACACTAGGTTATAGAGATAAGCTTGAAAACTTCTAATTCTTCCAAACTGTGAAATGTGGGATTATTGTTATTTAACTTCCATTTAACTTCCATTCATAACATTTCCATTTAACTTCCAGATAACTTATCCAAATAATAATTTTAAAAGCATTTTGAGACCATTCTCCAAGAAAAATGCTTCAAGTAGATTGAGTAGTCAAGCAGAGTTTAAGTAGTTACCATTGCCATTTTTGAAAACATGCTTACAGTTAAAAAAAATACAACATCTCATTGATTCACAGAGACACAGAATTGCAGAATTATAGGAGTTGGAAGTGACCTCTAGATATCATCAACTCCAACTTCTCTGCTAAAGCCAATTCCCTACCGTAGGTCACAAAAGTGAGCATCCAAGAAGGGCTTGGATATCTCCAAGAAAAGAGACCCTCTTTTCTCACTGTTTTTCTTCTTCCTTTTTTTTTTTTTTTTTTTTTTTCTATGTTTCTTTCATTATTCAAGTTTGAGCTTAACCATCATGTAGTTGCAAACTCAAAAGATTTTTCAGGTGACAACGCAAAAGTAAACTAAAAACAAGTGCTCAATGTGACTTTGTTGAATATTAATTTGGAAAATAAAATATCATATGGTATGTTCAAAATATTTGTGATTTTATCTCAGTGGGTGTTTCAGTGATATTGCTGTGAAGATGGAATGACGTGAACTGTGGAGATGACAGTTGCAAAATGCATGCAACACAAACAACAGATGGTTATGGATTTTTACTTTTGGATAGAACCTAGTCTCCTATACTTTTCTTCTTCCCTGGTAACATTTTCTTATTTTACATTTACAAATACTGGCACAAGGTATTCCATGGCCGTGGATAAGGAGACTGAGAAGCTTTCTTAAACTGACCTATGTCCTTTGTTGTTAGGGACAAACATTTTTCTCCATCAGAATATGAAAAGCATTGAATTTTAATAACCTCATTTAGAGTGTCCTTGAAAGAAGAACTTATCAACTTTCCAAATGCCTCAGGGGCATGAGCGAATACTTTACATTTAGCCTAAAATGCATGTAAAGTGTCCATGTCAAGTTAATTTGAGACTCACGTAAAGAAAAGAAGGCGTAATGAGGAGACACAAGAAAAAAACATTTTGAGCCTTACTAACAGAGATAAGTTCTAGAAAGAAATACCAAGTATAACAAAATATTACAAATATACAGTTCTGTTTTTAAAAGAATACCCGAAGGCTTTGATAAAGTAGTACAGCTACATTTCACTTTTAGAAGTCTTTGAGTTTTAGTAAAACTACCTTTTAGGGAAGTGTTCTGTTGTAGTAACCTGTGTTTTAAATGCAGAGAGGTTCTCTGTTTCCACAATAAAACACCCCTGAAATTGGACTTGGGAAGAAGGATGATAATGTTTTAGATGGTTTCATACCTTTTTTTTCTTTTTGGAACAGATTTGTCATTCTAGCCAGTCATTCTAGCCAGCTCTCAGTCTTGCCATTCACAGACAGTCTCAGAGTTAAGTACGCTTAGAAAAATAATTTTTTTGGTCTTTTGACTAATTGTCAGAAAGACATCAACATGACAAAGAATTGCCACTGTACTTCTACTTAGCATTTTCAGTGTCTGAAACATAGGTTATTAGTAATGATTATCATAGGAATATTTGCCTTAACTTTGATTAAACTAACTCAAGCATCTAATGAAAACAATTTTCATTTATATACAAGCAGGCAACATTGATCTTTGTTTCTGTAGATAAATTAATCAATCATGACAGCTTTTTTTTTTATTCCTGAAGAAAATCCTTTTTTATCTCCCACTTTCTTTAAAATAATGGGTCAAAACCAGAACAAAACAAAATAATAAATAGCATACATCATAAAGTACATTTTCTAAGGGACAAAAATGTGGATTTGTTTAATTTAGAACTTAGGCCTTTGATATGTTCGTTGAGCTTGCAAAACTTTGATGAAGGAACGCTTTTTTTCTGTACACTAATAATGTTGGATTAGTTCCCATATAGTTTTTCATATCACTGGATCATACAATGGTTGCATTTGTGATGTGTGTCACATAATTCAAAGGTAATGAAACAATGGTGTAGCACAACTGGGAATCATGAGATATTTAAGCAGATCCCGGAGAAGTATTATGGGGAAGGAAAAGTCTATCTACTCATGCTGCGTATACCATTGTAATCACATCAGCACTTCAAATGAAATAATAAACCTGGCACTTTACAAAGAACTTATTATAGAATTTTACTGGTCCATTGTTTTGGAACGTCTAAGAACTATTCCCTTGTTTATTTTGAAAGGGTATAGTCAAGGGAAACAGACCTGAACTGTGATATTTATAAGATATTATAAAGCAGTATCAATTGACTACAGCTGAGATTTTTATTGTGATTCCTAAAGGTATGTAGATACGTATTTGTTAATAGAAGACTTAGTGGCAGGTTTATTCTTCTGCCAGAGTAACTACAGAAATCAAAGAATGAGGTTGTTTTTAATTGTCATTTAATTCATTAGCCAGTTTTGAAGATTTTTGCAGAGATCTGACACACATAGATAAACATATGTACCATATGAAGAGGTTTTTGATCAATCAGAGCTTTTTTATCTAGATTTTTAAGATTGCTATTACTTTTAAGATTAGTTATTAATATTACTATTGAGATTTTTAAGATTACTGTTAAGATCACCCATATTAAAGAGTACAGAACAACTAAAGTTTTCATAGCCAATAAACGTTTCAGGAATGTGTACAAGAAAAAAAAATTACCTTTATTTTTCACAGATTTTAGCATCTTTATTTAATTCTCAAGAAATTTAAGCATTTCCAGTGCAATTTTACCTGGCTTTTGTTTAAATGAATAAGAACTATGATGAGACAACATAATGGCACGTTTAAATATGGAGATTGTAATTAACATAGGAGACACTATTGAGAAATAGGTTATTCATTTACTCATCCAGTTCAAACACTTCCTGCAGCACTTTCACACGGGCAGGTTTTACACTGACTGTGCCCTGCTTTATTTTCTATTTATATTGCTTTGAAACACTTTTCATTAAGTGCTTTGACTCTCAGAAAATTCTGGAAGGAAATAGTGATACCATTAAAGCTTTTTAACAGTAGTAGCTAGAGATTATATCTTCTGTATCGATGGCTGACAGTAGGTTCAAGTGTATCCTCAGCAAGTTTATGGATGACATCAAGCTGTTTGGCGCACTCGACACTCCTCAGGAAGGGGATGTGATTCAGAAAGGCTTAGGCTTGATCACTGGGCCAAGGTGAACCTTGTGATGTTCAAGAAGACCAAGTATAAGGTCTTGCACATGGGTTGTGGCAACCCCCATTATCTGTGCAAGGTGGGGAATGTAAGGAGCACAGCATCACCATAAATAATGCAAAAATAAAGTGCGTACAAATGGATGTGGTCCTGCCTCTCTACTCTGTGCTGGTGTAATCTCACCTGTAGTGCTTTGTCTGCGTGTGGAGTACTCAGTACAGAAGAGACATGGACATGTTGGAGCACATCCAGAGGAGAGCCACAAAAATGACCCAAGG